ATAATGGGAAACACATAATTTAATACCTCCGACCAGTACAGTTAATAATGGGAAACACATAATTTAATACCTCTGACCAGTACAGTTCTGATGTTTAAAAGTGGAAAACCTCTGAGTAGTTGTAGCATCAGACATTATTTAATAAACATTTACTTCAACTATAAAAGTCAGACTGTAAAATACTGTAGGCTGTTTAGTTTTATAAATTAAAATATAGATTGGAGGGTTTGGCGAAACCATATTGTGTTTAATTATTGGTCATAAAAACTTGACTGGCTGTATTTGTCTCTTGATGATTAACACAGTTAATGCAGGACTGACAGGATGTCCCTGCTCAGTCCTCACTGTGTTCCTCCATCTCTGGCTTTAACCTCCTCCTCTGCACCAGGCTGCAGCTCCTCGTTCAGRTATCACCTCATTGTTGTGATTCAAACACTAAAACTGACTAAACTACAACCTGCAGACTCTGAACACCACCCTGACTATAAAATCCAAACAGTAATTATAATAAATCTCACTAATCTTATTAGTGGGATTTTATTTTCTTCTTTCTGTAAATTTTTTGGTGCTTGTCAAATAATTTCAGGCTTCAGTCAGGAAGGAGTTTGGAGAGGTTTTGTTTGTTCTGTGGAGGGGTGGTGGTGGTAAACCAGAGGGTGGATTGAAGTGTTTTGCTTCCTCCTGCTGCATCACGCTTCAAATATGACCAACATTAATAAAAACAAGAAGTGCTGTRAATTTCTCACCATAACTCTGGTTTAACTTGTTCAATTTAAAAACTGCTGTAAAGCTTGACTTCTGACTCAGTTTGGAACAGATTCTTAGAGAAAATGTTTCCCATCAGAGGGATTTTAAATGAACCATGCGACCAGAACATGTCAGTGTCCAGGGATTCATATCAGCCGTTACATCGCTCTTCTCCATCCGTCTCTCTCACCCAACAGTTCTGCTATCATTGTTCACTCTTGGATCACATCACATCTAGATTACTGCAGCTGCGTTCTTTTTGTTTTACCATCTAAATCCAGCTATAAACTCWGACTGATCCAAAACCCAGCAGCTCGGATCATTTAACACCTGTCCTGCAGCGTCTTCACTGGCTCCACATCACATTTAGTCTGTTTTATAAGATCCTGCTCCTCACTGAAAAACYTCAGCATCTCACAGAAGTTCTCAACATCAACACACATTCCTACACTCCCCTCCTCCTCCTGCCCCCAACTCACTCAACCACCAGCTCAGTCAGCCAGCAACACCTGGACATTAAAAACTCTCCCACCATCTTCATTTTTAAATCATGAAATAAACTTATTTTTAAACAGGCATATTCAGTTTAAMCTTTTATCTCATCACCTCTATTTAACATTAAGTTTTATTATTTTAGCCCTATTCTGATGGGATAAGAATTATCTGGGGATAAGGTTGGGCATAATCGTATCGTGTGCAATWAATCGTCAGAAAAACATTAATTGATTATTATTTGGCACTTGAAGATTAATACGATTAATGCCACCAGGCAGAGTCCACTCAATGCTCCTCTCCACTTCAAATATGATGAACATAAAAAAAGGTTCTGTAATTTAATTATCAACACAATTAAAAATTAGATGTACAGCCTGAAGTCTGTAATTTTAACACAGTTTGGAACAGATTTTTACGAAGAGTAAATCTTTCCCACTAAATTGATCATGTGACCAGGACATAAGGGTTTTCCAGGGACTCCAGGGGATTAATCGKCAAATTAATTGTTATCGGCTAAATACTACAATTAATCGTGATTAATTTTTTTGCCAATATTGCCCAACCCTATCTGGGGACCCCATGTAATAAATAAATTACTCCCTGACGTCTGTGTTTTATGTGGTGCATTCGCACAGAATAACCAAAGCCTGAGATTTTCCTGAAATTTACAGACATCTCCAAGCCTGGTTAGTTGATGCGTTGAACAGATGTAAAAAAAAAATACAGCAAAAAACAATTAACATCAAATGACCATCTTCCAACCTGCCACCTGTCCAAGTTCTCCACTTCTTCTGCTCTCCTTTCCTCCTTTACRGCAGGTGAGTCATCTCCGCGGCCGACAGGCCCCACCCCCACGCGTGGGTATGAGTGGTACGGATTTTTAGCAAAAATTATAGATTTTTGAGGCTCGTTATACAGATAAATGTCCAAGGGGGTTGACATGTATGAACACCTCCACAGCTGGCAAGGGTGTGTGCGCCCGGCGCGAGTTCCCAAAGCGCGAGTCTGCTCTGCACTACGGCCACAGCTCAACACTCAGCATCAGCCAGGAGGATACAAACAGAAAAAAATAATTATTCCTACCGTACAGTGAGACACCATTTGCATCTGATTTTGCTCCCTTTCTTCAGCTATTTATTTTTTATTTATTTTATGCCGCACATAACGGGTCGGGTTTTTCCGGCCCGTGACCCAAAAGGTTTTCAGTGCACTCCAATCCAGCCTCCATTCTTCACCAAAAGTAAATAAAAATGCACCAAAGAAACCAAAACCACCTTGTTACATGTGGGATTCAGCCCATTCCTGTCCAAATCACAGAGATGCCTATTCACATTGGATTAGTRTTATCACAGGACCTCGGAGTTCAYCGAGTTATGGTAGGTAATTTGCGGGGGAATTTTACTTTACAAATTACTGACATGGCCGATTCTCACAGGATTAACAACACAGACAATCTCTGTAATTATTACAAATAACRTGGGGTCCCTGGGTAAAACGAATCCCGTCAGAATAGGGCTTTTGTTGTGTTTTTTGTTTTTCACTGTATTTTATTGCGGAGATTCTTAACCCATGGGCCACGGCCCAATTGAAGGCCACGAGCGCCACCTTTTTTTAATATGTAGAAGAAGAACCTTAGATACCCACAGAGAATGGAAACCTATTTTAAATGAAAAGTAGAAGCAAAAATGAAGGCAACCCGTCAAAAAATGCCCAAGTTTGTCATTAATCAGCTTCTGGTTTTACCATGCAATATTTTAAAAGTTTAAAACTTTATCAAATTGATTTGCAGATACGACTATATTTTAATTTGCACTTTATCAAATTAATTTTTGTAGTTTATTTTTAAAAATTTTGAATGTATTTTAAAGAAATTTTAAACTTGTCACAAAGCTGTTGTTACTGTTATTGTTTGTCACTAATATGAAGAGCAGCTTCTGGTTCTACCAAAAGTTTAAAAAGGCTTTATTTTCATTTACACTTTATAAAATTTATTTTTAGTTGTTTTTTATTTGAACATTTTTAATTAATTTATTTTATGCCCACAATTTGACTGTTATGGGCAGGTTACAATATCAAAATGTTTGTCATAATCGTCGTGTGATTATTTGACAGGAGATTTACTTGGAAACTGTAAGTGTATTTAATTTAGTTATAATGCAAATAAAAATTAAACCAAGATTTAGAATAATTATCATTTTGAACCGTACATTGGTAATGTCTGACTGGACCTCGTGTCACTTTATGTTCAGTAAATTGGGCCTCGAGGTCATAAAGGTTAAGAACCCCTGATTTATTGTACAGTGTCCCTGAGTGCCATGAAAGGTGCCTTCAAATAAAATGTATTATTATTATAGCATAAAAACATAAAAAGAAAGCAAAATAATAAAGGGGAGTTGGGATCCTTAAAAAGAACAGAACAAAGTATGTTTACACGTCCCAGTTCTAACCCTGAAATGAGAGCAGTAWTGTTTGGAGCTGTAGAGAAGCTGCATTGTTACGAGGGCGCCCCCTGCTGGTGTGGATGAGTCACAGTGAATCAGAGATTCACCTCGTCTTGTTTTTTTCTTCTCAGAGCCAGAGAAGCTCTGCGGCAGTGTCTGCCCGACCAGCTCAAAGACACCACCTTCGCCCAGGTGCTGAAGGACGACACCACCACCAAACGCTGGCTGGCCCAGCTGGTGAAGAACCTGCAGGAGGGCCAGGTCACCGACCCCCGAGGGATCCCACTGCCCCAGCAGTGACCACCAGCTCCCCCCGAGCTCCTGCTCCGAAACACCAGCAAGAAGACTGCCGAACCTCGAGCCTTTAACTGGAGCGTTCAGCTGCCTCGCCTCCTGGTCCTGGTCCTGGTCCTGGTCCAGGTCCAGAGTCTGTACAATGACTCATAACAGCATCAGCACATTTGTTTCGGCTGATGTAACACTGCCATGTTAGCTGAACTGAGACCCGTCTGCTAATAAACTGGGATGAAGGCGGAGCCGTGTGGCTGAAGAGTGCCGACAGCTACTGTTGCACAAACAGCCGAATAATTTCTTCCACAGRAACTAATGAAGATGTTTGATTCTGTCCGACTCCAGTCTGTGTGGACATCAGTTAGAAAGTTACTTCTCTCATGTGACGGACAACTTCACCAACTGTGCATCAAAGATTGTGGGACTTTTAAAAATGATCTAAAATTAAAAGTTTTTCTTTCTTTTATTTGTTTTTTGATTATTACCTCAGCAGACATTCAGCTTTTTTAACTTCATATAATAAAATCTGCTGCTTGTTCAGGATGTCACGTCTGACTTTAGTCAAAAAATTTCAGCCGATATCTGATATAATTATTGCTGTTATGGCCGATAATCGTATTTACAGATATTACACAAACACACTTGTGTCTTTCTTTGATACTGTAAATAAACAACCAGACCTCTGACATGGCTCTGCTTCAGTTATTCCCGGCTGCGCAGCATCAATATCACCATGATCAAMCAGATCAGGGGTTCTTAACCTTTTTGACCTCAGGGCCCAATTTATTGAACATAACGAGGCCCAGTCACACATTACCATACGGCTCAAAATGATAATTATTCTAAATCTTGGTTTAATTTTTATTGTATTTACATTATAACTAAATTAAATACATTTACATTTTTAAAGTAAAACTGTCATAATCGCAAGACATGATTATGACAATTTTTACATTATAACCTGCCAATAACAATTTGAACAAAAACAAAGGTCAGTAAACAGACCACTCAGGCTTATCAACACACACACACACACAC